ACGACAGTTTCTTTTGGCGCCCAACGTGGGCTCTAGCAGAATCAAAACGATTTACTGCTGAAAATATTTTTTGAACTTGACTTTTTTCTGCAGTGTATCCTAGAAATGTTTATATGTTAGTGTTAAACGTTACAAAATCCACAGAAAAACTGAAGTAAATTAAATACAACTATTTCAGATAATTCTTTTATTGGAGTTTTACTGAAAGAACTAATGATGTAGTGTTACCCTGTTAGGAAAATGAAAGGTGAAAGTAAAGCTTTGAAGTGATTACCTACTGCTGCCAAATGCCATGTTTGCACTTTCCATGGTTCCACTAGATTTAATGCGTACAATTTTGATAGCTGAATTTGTGATGAGCAATAACAGAGCCTGTCTGTAGGGACATCTAAAAAGAAATTGCTAAAGAATGTATAAATTAAGAGTTTCTTCTGTGTTCTTGCTAACCTGTTTTCTTACCTCTTTTAACGCTGCTGTCAACACATTCAGCAAGAATGTTATAAGCAACTTGCCTATTTGTAAAACCTGTCCTGTTTAAGTGCTCTGAACTAGAAAAATGGTTCCCTTGCTTTTTATGATAATTTTATAGCCACGATATACTTTAAGATCTGTAACCCATGGGGAAAAAAGTGATCTTTTTCTGGGTAAAATAGCAAATACTTTATTTTTAATAAATACAAACTAAACAATATTACAGTGTAAAATTAATGTTGTGATTTATGTTGTTCCATAACCAGGGCGTCACTATGGAGCAGTAACTTGTGAGGGATGCAAAGGATTCTTTAAAAGGAGCATACGGAAGAATTTAGTTTATTCATGCCGAGGAACAAAAGACTGTGTCATTAACAAACACCACCGGAACCGATGTCAGTACTGTAGGCTGCAGAGATGCATCGCGTTTGGGATGAAACAAGATTGTAAGTGTGGATAACTGTAAATTATTTTAGCTGGCAGCTATGTTAAGGTTTGTGTTGTATTAATGTAAATTGTTGTCTTGGTTTTAAAATTTTAAATCATTGTATCTTTCTTCTTTAAAGAATTGCTACAAGTTTGGTGTATCAGAAGTCTGAAGTATTTTCAAGCATACATATTGCTTGATGAACTTCGTAAGCACATTGCACATGGTGGAAGTGAATGAATTGTTATTCCTAAGTGGCAAACATCAAGCATGTCTTCATCTTCAATTTACATATGCAGTTCAATTTTTCTATCTGTTAATTAAGCTACTGAACATTTTGGATCCTTCTACCTTCTTGTTACGTTTTCCACAGCTGAGATTACTGGCAATTGCTGTTCACTTCTGGCTAAGCTCTACAGACATTTATTCACCAGGCAGAGATACATAGTGAGCCAGAGTTCAGCTCCTACTGATTTCTGCAGATTTCAAGTTTCTTTTTAGATTTCCATATATTGGATGTAGTGATACTGCAATACCACAGCAGTATCATAATGCTGAATATGCAGAAATTCAAGCAATGCACAAATTCTTCAGCCCCAATACTGCCACGCTGTTGATAAACAAGCAGTATTAGTCTTGGGCTTTGCTCTCTGTCATCCAGCTCTATTTTGCTGTCCTCCTTGAACCTCTGTGGGCATCCTCTCCTTACAGCACTGCTTCTGTCAGCAGAAACCAGGAACATTTTTTCCAGCACAGAGGAAATGAATTCAGGAAAGAAGGAGAAGCTGGGACGGTGGAAGGGAATCTTTGCCGCTTTACCCTCTAGTTCAGCTGGCAATGTTTTGCCCCTCCACAGAAGACTTTTCAAGCAGAACAAATCGCTGGGGTTGGGGATGAGAAGGCAGGAAAAGGATCTCTGGGTCATGGGGGAATACTGAGCGGAGGAGAGGATTGTTTTGGGGTAAGAAGTCTCATTCTTCAGTAGAGTGGGAAGAGGAAGGAAAACTCAGAGCCACCTGTACTGTAGGTCCCTCAGTGGAGTTATTTATCCCTTGAAGAAAACTTGGCCCATTCTCAGCAAACTCGGATCCAGCTAGTGAGTACAGGGTTAGCTAAGGAAGATAAGACTTTTGTCTCCACCTCCCACCCTTTCAAAGCACGTTAGTGGGTTACGGGCTAGCTTTAATGGTATTATCAATACTTGATAATGTTATAACATTTGGGTTTATGATACTTACCAATGTAAAAATTCAATTAGCATCACAGTCTACTACTAACTTGAAAGCTTTTAAATTTTTCTCTAGTTACACATTTTTCAGATCTGCACAATTGAGAAAAAAAAGTCAGGTTTTTTCCTATTTGCCTTTGTGTTTTTAAATAATGAGCATTCAGGATTGCCTTTATAGGCTCAGATAGTTTCTATGTGCGGTTCAATGTTAAAGAGGCTGTGTTTGCCAGTAGCTAATGCTTATCAGGCTGGTGAATTGGTGCATGTTTTAAACTACGTATAGGCCTTGTTTGTATCTCTCTTTAAGGATCTTATTCCAATCTATAAAATAACTTGCACCACTTCAAAATATGTGGAAGAACAACTTACTGCATTTTTTTAAAAAAGAATAGTACTTTGTAAATATCTGTTATAAATTTATGTTTTACACTTACAATGCTGTTAGGTTATTTTTTCCAGAAATTAGATTTTCCTTTGAAACTTTTAAAATCAAACTGTGAACCTTTGGGATTTTTCTTCTATTTTTTTTGGCTTTATCCTGTACACCTAGAGAGTTACCTATAATGTATAATACTGTAAGTTTCATTTTAATGTTCTTTAATCCATTCAAAGCAAGGTGATGTATCTGTAGGCTAAAGCCCAGATTCATTCCACCTAGTTTCACTGAGCAATTCAAACTGAAAATCTGCTGCTTCTCTGAAATTAGTGTTTGTGAGTCAGGATGTCGCCCAGATCTTAAATGATCTTTACTGAACTTTGTCAATATCCCTTTCCCTCTGTATTGTCCAAAGTCCTAACTTGAGAAGCTTCTTTAAGTGTACAAAGTTATGCGGGTTCAAGTCAGACCCACAATCCATGGAAAAAGGGTGCCATGAGTCCTCTAGAAATATGCTGGGACTGTGGGATAATGAAATTGAGGGAAGGAAAAGCCATAAGCCTCAACTTAAAATCCAAGTTAAAAATAAGGTACAAGGGGATTTCTTGCTTTATTGGAACTTGGAAAATGTAGTGTCTTATGTTTGGTCTCGGACTTTGACTAGTACCTCATTTCATTAAGAACAAATCAAATTCATGTTATTTTTAGGCAAGTTGTTAGCTTACTGGTTATAGGATTTTTTGAAGTTATTTTTCAGAATCGTTATTAAAACTGCAGATGAAATACAGAGAGGAAAAGAGAATTATTTCTTAGTCTATTATTTAGGATGTGACTTAATACTTGCATATTTGTTTATTAGCTGTGCAGTGTGAGAGGAAACCTATTGAAGTGTCAAGAGAAAAATCTTCAAACTGTGCAGCTTCTACAGAGAAGATCTACATTCGGAAAGATCTTCGTAGTCCATTAGCTGCAACTCCAACTTTTGTAACAGACAATGAAACAACAAGGTATGTACGTTATACTCGGAAGCAGCCATCTCTGTTTCCTGAAACAGGAAAAATTAATTTAAAATTGATCAAGAATTAAAATGTGTGCTGTTTTCTGTCAGATCAACAGGTCTGCTGGAATCAGGAATGTTTGTTAACATTCATCAGTCTGCAATAAAAAGTGAGCCTACTGTGCTGATGACTCCAGATAAGGTACCTGATGATATGACTGATACATTAAGTACAGTTGATTGCTGTAGGGTGTTCTGTTTTATTGTTGTAATGGATAGGAACCTAGCTGAGAGTTGATTCCCACTCATGACTGAGAGACACGCTGAAGTATGTTTTTGACAGAGTATTCGATAAAGTATATGTATTTATGTTCATTGTGACTATTTGTTGGAAAGAGGCAGGAAAACATAAGGGTGCAGGTGTTCTATGACCTTCATACTTCACTGCACCGAGGTGTCTGGACAGTGCTCTCAGTGTGGACAACAGGGAGATCATGAGAAACTCATGGCCCCACGAGTAAACAATGATGGATCTGGCATAAAGCCAGTTGTTTTCTAAGGTATGAAAGTGGGACCCTCTTGTAGGTGAATCCGAAGCCTCACCTGTGGGTGGACGCACCGCACAGGAATTTTCCCAATTACCTGAGACTCCTGGCATTGGCTGCAGTGGGGCTTCCCAGCTCGAAGTGTGGGCCTGGATGATGATTCAAGTGGTAACTGGTGATGCACTACATCTTAATCGCTGTTCTCTGTATGCAGTAGTGATTTGTTGTATTGCTAATTTTCCTCTGTGCTCTGTGTGTGTGTATATATATATCTGATTTGCTTTATAGTGCTTGTTTACTCTGAATATATATGTAGAGATATATAGCTGATTCATGTTAGTTTGCTTTAGTGTACTTGTTTAATAAACTGTGCATGTTATATAGCTAGTGTGGGTTCATTTTGTTGAGTACCCTGCCTGTTCACAGAACAGTTGTGCTTCTGTTATGTTAAATTCATTTTCGGAACGTTCCTTTACAACATTAGCCAGTGTTGTAAATGCTTTCTCTTCTGAAGAATGCTTCTCATATAGAATGCCTCATATAGAAGAACATACTGTCATACTGAAGAATGTCATATGTGAAGTATGTCATATGTTGTACTGAAGAATGTCATATGTGAAGAATGCTTCACATAACAAAAATACTAAAAACTCTGCAAAGTAAATGCCTTCCTCCACCTTTTTAAAGAGCTTTAAAGGCTGCATTATTTTATTGTGTAATGGGAAATCCTGACACTTGGATGTTTCTTTTGTACCAATAAAATGAGGTGTTTGCAAAATCTCCGTGGATTATCACAGTGCATTTCATAAATACTAGTAGGTTTTTTCCTACAAATCATTAATTTTTTGTAAAGCTATTAAGAGCTATCTTGGGAACAATCTTACTTGAGCTAGTTTTCTTTCGTTTCCATTTTGTTGCACATACTGATCCACTAAAGCCATGTAGTTACTTCTCTACACATGCACAGTAGGAAGCTTTTGTGTTTTTCTAGCTGATACTAAATTACCTCATACTGTTTTACTACATTTTGCCTCACTTGCTCTGTCTGCAAAGGGCCCCATCAAAGGTCGTGTATTCCATTTCACTTTTCTAGCTCTGTTCTGTCAGTAGAATATGACAGTGCAAGTTAAATGACATGTAGCGTGCTGATCATTATTTGTCATGACAAATGCATGGTTACTTGTCTGTAATCATGCACTTTTCCTACATACATATTTCTGTGGAGTGGGAAACATGTTTTACTGCCTCTGAGCTGCTGCTCAGTACTGAATCACTTTGTTCCCTTGCAGTTAAATAAAGACATAAAACCCCAAAAGGCCACAGCAGAATTCTTTTTCTGCATGCTTTTAAAGGTGACTTTTTATCTATTTCTTCTTTTCAAACATTCTTTTACCCTATTGCAACTGACTCATTTACACAAAGAAGGAAGATGATAAAAATATAATCTAGTTTGAACCCAGGACAAGTTTTATAGTCCAGTGACTGACTAGTGGGTGGAGATCATAACTTCTCTTCCTGCATTTGCTTACCATTTGTAATACTCTTTCTGAAATTATTAGATAGTTATTGCTTGTAAAAGTAAATGCCTATATGTTGCATATTTTAGAAGCAGTGCAGTGTCTAATTGCTGCATTATGATCACCCATTTACTAAAACCAATAATTTTCTTACAGGTCTTTTCACATGCTCAATTCTTCATTTATGTAGAAGTTAGATTCTTCTATAGCAAGTTAACTGCTGCCAATGTATACTTTTTCCCTTAGGTTGAAGCATGTCAGGGAGATCTAAGTACGCTGGCAAACGTGGTGACTTCATTAGCAAATCTCAGTAAATGCAAAGACATGTCACAAAGCAGTACAGAGCTATCTATGATCGAGAGCTTAAGTAATGGAGATGCATCATTATCTGAACTCCAGCAAGAAGAGCAAGCTAGTACTGATGTTACAAGGTAAGGCATGTTACACTTGAAAAGATTATTCTTTTTGAGAAGGTCTCTGTCAATTCAGAACGTTAATTAAATGCTCACAATGTTGAAAAGTTATCTGCATTAAAAATAACAGTAAAGCAGCCTAAGCTCATATAGAACATAAATCTTGTAGGATTCTTCCAAGTGAAATCATAATTAAGTTCTTTAATTGTTTCTAATCAAAATTCATTTCAGTGTGTTACGGCTGATTTTCTTACCTTTTGGTTTGCCTTAATAATGTGTGTTAGATCTTACTACAGTCTAAGTACTTTGTGTCATCCTGGAAAGCTGTTTCTTAGAGATCCCATCTGTGTAATTAGTTTATTGCCTGGAACTATTAATCTCCTTAAAAGCTTGAAAAACATTTTCTTTCTACACAGAATTCCCAGAATTCCCACCATCAATACAAATACATTCACTGAATGTCATAACATAAGAGAATAATTTGGGTTGGAAAGGTCCTTAAATATCATCTAGTTCCACCCCCACCTTGCCATGGGCAGGGACGTCTGCCACTAGACCACGTTGCTCAACGCCCCATCTAACTTGACTCTAAACGACTCCAGGAATGGGGCAGCCACAGCTTCTCTGGGCAACCTGTTCCAGTGTCCCACCACACTCATCATATGGAATTTTAGTCCTAATGTCTAATCTATATCTCCCCTCCTTCAGTTTAGAGCCATTCCCCCTTGTCCTGTCACTACATGCTCTTTTAAAAAGTCCCTCTCCAGCTTTCTCGTAGGGCCCTTTTAGGTACTGGAGAGCTGCTCTAAGATCTCCTGAAGCCTTTTCCAGGCTGAACAACCCCAGCTCTCTTAGCCTGTCTTCACAGGAGAGGTGCTCCAGCCCTCGGATCATCTTTGTTGCACTCCTCTAGACGTGCTCCAAGTAGCTCAAATATTTTTCGAATTTGTGGTTTGCACTGGTTTTAACAGAGCCATTTGGGGAAACATATGTGTAAGATATTCTGAGTAGTCACTCATGTTCTTCCTTGGTTCTTATCTCATGGAAGCTTCTGACAGGTGCGCAAGTAATACTCCTTTACCACACCATCTACATTGTACGTGCTCTTTTGAAAATGCACATGTGGCGTAAATCCATCAAAGAAATATATTGCTGTATAGTGAAGTTGCTTGTACTGACTGAACCACTTGATGTGGTTTTGGACAACCTGATCGAGTTCAAGATGTCCCTGCTCATTGCAGGGGCGGTTGGACTAGATGACCTTTGAAGGTCCCTTCCAACCCAAACTGTCTGATTCTGTGAAATAACAGTATTTCCCCTGTGGTTTCTACTGCTTTGTGTATTCTGCAAGCAGTATGCATTTTTTTCTGCTCCTTTCTTTCTGTGCTGCTTCGAAAGTCAATGTGAAGTTATATAGGTGTTGATTTGGCCTTTTGCTGTGTCATCCTAGGTAAAGAATATAAGAATGTGCTGTTCAAATAGTATTGTTGTATGTGCTGATAAACTTCATTTCAATAGTACGGATTTTCAAAAAGCTGTACTAATCTTTCATTATTTCCTGGCACTTTCAGATACTTGCTTTTGCCAGCTTCAGTGCTTCTGTTCAGTTTTAGACATCTGTCTATGGAAACACATCCAGTTCTCTCAGCCAGAGAGCTTGAAAGAGCTCTGACTCAGCTTAATGCACACCCTTGTCCAGTAGGCTACCTGACAGATTTACAGTGGGGAGGTTCAAGTTAAGTACTCCTGTGAAAGGAAGCAGAACCCAAGCAGGAACTACAATTTTTTTATATAAATCTTTGCCAGGCCCTTTGCCAGCTTGATCTAACAGGCACAGATGTTCACTGGAGAAAAGGAGTTTAAGGGATTTCAGGAAGCAAGTTTTATCCATCTGTTCTTTTCTTGTATTTAACTATATTCCATTGCTGAAATTCAGATCTTCTAGCAGAAGTCCAATAATATAGCTTCTACGGCTTACTATGAATGCATTCCCTTTATGCCTACTTTCTGTACGCTGGAGACAGAAAATGTCCCGTGTGTGTCTGTGTAGTCCACTTACATCTGTTCAGTCCACTTGTGCCTGCCCCAGTCACCCTCATGCGCACATCAAGATATGCAGGCTAGTTAGGGCCTAAACCTAGTTCACTTACCATCACAAGCCTGAGGCAGTGACACTTAGGCAATGTCAACAGCTCTTTTATTGTGATGTTTTGTTTGGTTGTAAATAGTTATGTCAAATATAGTAAACATTATGGGGTTTTAGCATGTTAATGAATTTAGATAGCTAGGGACTGTGGGGGAAGAGAAGGTGGCAAAGTTCTAGATTGGACTTCAGCATTAAATCAGTGATTGTAGACTCGGTGGTAATAAGCATGTCTCTATGAGAATCAGCTCTACATACAAGCTGATAATCAGCTTTTGTAAAGTTTTCAGGCCTCAGTGAAGTTCTTCATGCAATGCTGTATACAAATAATACTGCTCTCGGGATATGTCATCTCTCTGTAGGCAGTGATCAAGTCTGTATGATTTTGATTGAAGATACATCAGTGGTGGCTCTCAAGTGTCTTTCTGAACAGCAAAACATCAGATCTGTTATCAAGCAGCAAAATAATGAGTAATCTATATCTCTGCTTGTCCTGTCATCTCCCCTGTAATGTTTGTGCATGTGACAGAACTCAAAGCCCCACATAAAAGGGTACTAAGGATGGTATTGAAAGCATGAGAGTGCTTTCTCTCACATATTTAAAAATGGGCTTTTCAAAGTAAGTTGTATCACCTAACCACAGAAAAAATCTGTAAAATCTCTATGTGCATTAAGTTGTTTTTATAGCAGCCTGATGATCATGTCCTCAGAGCGCTCATGCCAGCGTTCTCAGTAAACATCACTGAAGAGATCTTGAAAGGCAAACTGTGATTCAGCAGCACAGTCAATATGTCAAAACTGTGAATTTGTTGGCAACTAGTGTGAACAGGATCTGCTGCTAATTTTTGTTTCAGAGCCTCTGTAACTTCGGAGTTTTCAGGGATTTTGTTTGGTGGAGTGTCAGGAAAAGCACACTGCTGACAAGATTTTGTTTTCCTCATCTTTTTTTTTTCCTTTGAAACAGCTAAGTACAGGTTTCAGGTAAGTGCAGGTGCCTCCTGAAAGAGTCTCTAAAATTAAATCTTCTTTTCTTTTTGTTTGTTTGGTTGTTGTGATCTTACAGGGCATTTGATACTCTTGCAAAAGCATTAAATCCAGGGGAGAGTGCAGCATGCCAGAACTCGGAAAGTATTGATGCTAGTGTACAGCTGATTGGTGGAGAACCAAGCATGAATATCGTTGAAATAGAGGGACCACTACTCAGTGACGCACATGTAGCATTCAGGGTACTTAATATCTTTTTACTATTGACTATTTATAATCATTTTAACATAGTAATATAAAATAATGATCTGATTAAATCTTATTTTGAATTTCTTAGAAGAGCAATGATTTGTTCAGGTATTGTCATTCCTTTCTGGTGAATGCACTGCTTTTGTTCACTGGTTACCTGTTGGCTTGGGAAAATGTGCAGCTCTCTGCAGTGGTTTAGCTGCACTGTTTCTTCTGTAGCTTCTTTAAAAATACAAGGCAATCCATGCAAAAGGATTTACATAGAGAAGTGTCACACAAAGCAGTCAGCATCCTCATTCTCCTTTCATAACAGGTGGATCTGACACAATCTGCAACTGGATTTTGAGACTCTTCAGCGTATTTGCCAGTTCTCCTTTGTGATTATCTCATATTTATTTAAAAAACAATTTTACTTTTTCACTTACAAGAAACTCTTAATTTTTTTCTTGTCTTTTTTTGTGAGGAAAGTAGGATAACTGACTTGAACTTCTTTTTTTTCCTTTGTTTGCCAGCTCACCATGCCTTCTCCTATGCCTGAATATCTTAACGTTCACTATATCTGCGAGTCTGCCTCCAGGTTGCTTTTCTTGTCCATGCACTGGGCACGTTCCATTCCATCTTTCCAAGCTTTAGGGTAAGCGTCTGGTTACTCTCTTCCCTTTGTTGTGAATATGCACTTTTAAAGTTTTTATTTTCACTGTCGTCTTCATGGACATGTTAAAATATAAATGTACTTAGTAAAACTTTTACAGATCTTTGTCATGGAGGTAAGTTTTCTGAATCAAAATTACTTCCAACTTCAGTCCAGTTCAGGTTGGGTTTTGAAGGAAAAAGGAGATTTATAACAAGCAAATGCCTACACACTGCTGCTACTGTAATAATTTTTTAGTAAACAGGACTTCCTATTATTTTCTTGATAGCTACTTCCCAAAGGTGCTTATCAGGGAGAGACCAAAAAGCAGCTCCTCTGTGAATCCCCAAATGTCATCTTTGTAGGTGAATTAGGAGTAATCATTTTGCCTTTAATAACCTGTATGAAGAAGAGGGGTAGCTAGGTTCAGCAAGCATTCAGGATGAAGTTGATTACTTTCAGAGGATTTTCCAAAAACAAATAGTTGCTGTAACCAGAAAGTAAGTCTTATTATTCTTTGTACAGTTTCTATAACATCCTGCTGGTGCTGCAGAATTCAGTTAAGCTAAATGTATTAGTGCATTGCCAATCGTTATGAGAAAAGCAGCATGAGGAAAAAGTAATTTATGTATTTTCAGAAGTAATTTTATGAAGACACAAAAGGTACTGTATCAGCTCTTGATGCAAATGGAGTATAAATCATGTTTGTCCGTTCTCATCTACAGTGTTTTTCTGTAATTCAATGTCAAAATAGTGTATGACTGGCAGCAAGGGAATTTGTTTTTAAAGTGAGGGATTGTCCCCTTTTCCAGGAAGGCTGTCAAAAGCAGGATGAGCTGTGATTGCCACTTGTATTTACTCAGATGTTTAAGGCAAATGATTCTACTTTGTTTAAGGAAGGATACTATATTATGTGTAACTGAAGCTGTGTTTTGGAGGAGGAAGAAATAAAACTATAAAGTTAAAACAGTAGCAAGGGTAAAAAGTCAGGTAAATACAATGTTTTATTTTAGTAGAAATTGTTGGCCTGCAGAATTTAAAAATATGTAGCAAATTAACATATTATCCTGTGTCACTGTGGATCACGTTTTTAAAAGGTTTTTAGAACAGAGAGACACTGCAAATTAGTGTTTATAACAACAAATAGGAATTGCTTTTTAAAAATAAAACATTGTACAGAAGACCTCTCTCTCTGAAAAGAGGTAACAAGAAATGCTGATAGAAAATCTGTGGGTTTTTTTAATGTGTTACCTTCCAGTACATTTTTCTGTCTGAATTAAAACCATGGAGGAATAGGCTGTCTTAATAGTGTTAATATTCACCATTTACAGTCCCAGTCAAGATTATGGGCAACAGTATATTTAAACACAGTTTAACATAAATATGCAGTTTTCCTTTTGAAGAGCTTAAAATACTAACTTTTTTCTCAATGGAGATTTATTTGAAACTGATGCAGCTTTTTTTTTTAAGTTTGAGCACATTATGTTCTATAATTTTGACTTTCAGAAGGGTGACTCATTGCACTTTAAAAATGAAGAGAAATTCACGGTACTAGTAATTAAGAGAAGTTGATGAGCCAAAACAAAACCATAGTAATAGTTTCATAAAGAAGATTGATAATTCTGTTCAGGTGGTTCCCTCCTCAGGCGGTGTTTTCCTTAGTCCCGGCAAGATAGTTGGCTTTGGCATACTGATGCAGTTAATGATAGCAAATTACTGCTTAGTTCATCTTCCTCCATTAGGATCTCTGTAAGCAAGAGAGATTCCTACAGAAATGTTTATCAGGCTGGTTACAGGTTTTTCTTTTCTTTGAGGCTGCTTAGGTTTGGTCAGCTGGTTCTCATCTAAATTCAATCATCCGGTTCTGCTCTGAGTTCCATCTGCCATAAAGGCACTCTATATGATACATTTCTCTACAGACATACCATCTCAGTAGCCAGTAAACCCTATTTTCACTGTTCCTCAGCATATTACCTTTGACAGGAGTTGAATGAGGATGTGACAAATATGTGTTAGAAGCTGCATGTACAGTGTCATGTCTACCATAACAGGAACTTGATCATTCATAGTAAAAAAACATTGCCGTAGGTAAGCTCTCTGTAATCCAGTACAGGACAAGTGTACATTAATCTGTCATTTGGCCTATTAGTATTGCAGTAAATCATCAGAAATGTTCTTGAAGATTACATCAATGTTCTTGCAAAAATCCATTCCATTGTATTTTTGTAGTTGAAATCCTAGCTTTAATATGCTTTTCTTCTTTGATAGGTCTTGTGCTTCTTTTAAATTTGCATTATTTATATTTACTGGCTAAAACTGTGAAACCTGGTACCTGAAATTGACTCCTCACTGCTAGGATTTCCTTTTTAAGGTACTGAGCTCTTGTTAAGCTCTATAAGTTAGAGATGCTTGGCAGTACTCAAAGTTACATTACTAATATGGAAGTGCCTGAATATGGATTGATATACTTAATTTTAAGCTTCAGTATTTGGGGGAAAAAAATGACTACAAATGAAATGTAATTTAAGGACTAATTCTTACAGCAAAGAAATTCTCATGACTTCTGTTTACACTTTGAAGTCTTGTATTTCAAACTCTTTTCCAGATATGAAAGTGATACAGAAAATAGCAGCCAGGAAGCTCAGTAACTTGATCTCATGTTTTCCATTTCACATGTATTTTTAATCTGAAAATTACACCAACCTGCCAGATTTCAAGTATAACAAAACCCCCAAAACAACGAACAAACCAGACCTTTGAGTCTATTCTACACCCACAGTACAGGAACAATGCAAACTTTTTTGTCTATGCATGCAAATGTTACTCAAAAATCAGTGTAAAACCTAAGGAAACTAGTATGATGGAATACGCCTAGACATTAAATGACTGTAGCTTCAGCTTGCATTTACTGTCACTGCAGCTTTTGTGATAGAAATCCATCCATCCTCTTCTAGGTCATTAAACCAAAAATTACTGCTTTACAAAAGTCACTGTAAACCAGGTACTTTAGTGTTAGTATGTAAATAAAACTGTTTCTGATGTAAGCTTTCATTTTGGTACTGGTTGCAATGGTTGAAATAGATGAATGTTTCATGACATGGTCCTGAAATAAAAAAAAATGTGAATGCAAATGGCTGGGATTTTTAACTGAAATTATTGTAATTTTCAATAGGCAGGACAACAGCATATCATTAGTAAAAGCCTGCTGGAATGAACTTTTTACACTTGGTCTTGCACAATGTTCGCAAGTTATGAATGTGGCAACTATATTAACTGCATTTGTTAATCACCTTCATGGCAGCTTACAGCAAGGTAAGATGTATGATGTACTCACTGCCAGTCTTGGGGAATTACTTTATGGTTTTTAAGCTTTGAGCTGTGCAGAAGCTTTTGCTTATCCTTCAGTTGTTAATGAAAATTTACTGTTTATAGAGTTTTGATGTTACTGTAGAAAATACAGTCTGCAAGATGGATTTGTTTTAACAATTTCACAAAAGTCACCTATGCTAATACTTAACCTCCAAATTAAAAAGAAGAAATTGTCCATCTGTCTAATGTAGGTTAGCATTTTCCAGAGCTGTTTTTAGTGTGTGTCTATGCAATGTCTAATAGTGTTCTGCTGTTCTGTTAATACTGTCAGCTCAAATTAGGAATATTTCAGGCAGCATCAACGTTAAGAACACAAGTGTTGTGTGAATATGATTCCTCTGCTTCAAGGGTATAAAGTAAAGAATGACCCACCTGTCCTTGCTGTTCATAGCTGTGAAACAAAGCAGGCAAATGCCAACTTGGTGGCGTACTTCCTTCGCATAACTTGGCTTGTTGACTTCTGTACACTAGCTTTAGACTACATGCAAGTCTTCAGCATCTTCACAAACCATACTTTGTACTTTATTAATCCTACAGCCTGCATCTTTTGCATATTTTTCTTTCAAATGAAAGAGATGTCAGCTGCCTCCCCTTTCATTTACAGCAAAGGAAATGTTCTTCTGAGCACTAGAGGAGTCCTTGATAATCTTCTTTGTGTGCTTGTCAACATTTACAAGGCTGTTAGCACTAAAAGCTAAGCAATCAAAAATAGTGTAGTCTTCATCTGCTCATAGTCTTAATGTATTTTCAATAAGGTGGATTCACATACAAAAATTTTCAGGCTTAACTAGATTTTGGCGTTATTTGCTGTTATGTGTATGAAAATTGACTGTTGTTGGTGCTATGCAAAAACAGATTGGTAAAATGTAGAAAAACAGGCCACCAGACTGTAGATTTTTGGTTTTTTCCTCTCCCTTTATGGTGAGGGTATTAAAGAATTGTTTCTGAGGGGGTCTTTGTGTTTTAAAAATAGCCACAAGATCCTCCTGTAAGTAGCAATAGTTTATAATTAAAACCAATTGATTAAACCACTAAATGTACTGGATCAGCTAAAGATAATCCCAGATCTGTGAATGTCTTTAGAAGGGATACAAATGGAATTTCTGAACTTACTTTGGTCTATATAATTTTTAAGCATGTTCACCAAAAAAGGTATTGTAGTAATTAGTCACATTTTTATCATTACTACAAGTATATATTTTTGCTATTTAATTTGAATGCGAAAAATCAGAAATTTATAATCAATATCTTCCAGTTGTGTAGCATGCCAGCTGTAGCATCTCCAAGAGCTAGCAAGTTTGTGGGGCCCAGGGACCCTAGTTTGATGAATTGTGAAGGGAACAGGATTTTCAGGCTGCTTAGTTATTGCTGACCCAAGGGGAACACCAACTGCACATTCCCCTAGATGCAAATCATGAAAGGTATATAGTGCACATTCTTTTTCAGCAGTAGCATGGGTTTGGACTGACTAAAATAACCAATGAAACTGTACACTAACCTAATCTCATGGCATCTGACCCATAGACATAGGGTACCGATCTGCAGTAGCACTGTGTTACTTGCTTGTAGGTAGTCTTTCCCTTCCCCAGATCATTTCAAGTTCTAGTCCACCGGATTACTGGAAGCTTTAGTGGCAGGAAGAGACCTAATTGTACAATGTGGTGGGGTGGGGGAAAGCTTGTTACAGTTTGTAATTGTTGGTGTCAAGATGTTCAGACCCAGTAAGAGTTCATAGTCAGCACAGATTTCCCACTGACTCTTAATAAAATCTTTAAAAATCCAGTGTGACCATATTTTGTGCATGTGCATTAACTCAGGGGGCTTATATTTATGTGTGTATTGACTCAGATAAGCTGCCAACAGACAGAGGAAAACTAGTAATGGAGCATATCTTCAAACTGCAAGAGTTCTGCAACAGCATGGTGAAGCTTTGCCTAGATGGATATGAATATGCATATTTGAAAGCAATCGTCCTCTTCAGTCCTGGTATGTAACTATTCCAAATGTAAAACTTTATGCTATTTTTTGCTATGTAACTTCTGCCTGTTTCACTGTATGCAGTTACTGGCACCTGTGTTGCTTCATTTGTTGAGGAATCTTGGAAGATTTGTAATGAGGACTGTAGGAAGAGGAGGGTTAATCTTTAAATAGTTGAATGCTGCTTTGGAGACTTTTGCTTTTGCCTCTGCTATTGTTGTTTTTAAAATATTTATTTATCACTTTTTAATTCTGTGCCTCCTTTCTGGGATACTTTCTCTGAGGACCTATAGTTTAGTTTTCGGAAGTCTTGCTCTTGCGCATTTGGCTGAGGTGGATTGAAAAGACAAGTCCTCTGGTTATGATAGTGACTGAATAAATTATCTAGTGCAATGTCTACTAGGATTCATGAGACAATCTGTTGGCCTGTCTGAAGAATCAGTCCTGATAGACACCAGAAAATATTTCTCTGTGAACCTCACACTTGCAAAGCAATACTTAATTACTTGTTTAGTCTGAAGTTAATTTGTCTCCTTCCAGTCAGATTTGATAACACAAAAGGTAGAAGGAAAAATATTTTGGGAAAAGGCTGTATCCAGTCACATGATTGAAATTAATTTTCTTTAGTTTACATGCTTTCAGGATTACATTACATATGATGTGTAGCTGCTTTCATGGCAATGTGTTGTCAATATTCTTGATCCTGTGAGCCACGTAACAAAATCCTCACATACCTGAAAGTCATGTTCAGTACCTATAGGGGAAAGGATGTTCTGTCAGTGATTCATAGGCCAGACATTATGATTTCAGGGATTTTTCTGCTCTGCTACAGGATGGGGCTGGGCTGCACATGTGGCAGAGTCCTAAGGTAAGAACATCTGCTTTAGTAGGCCCTGCTGATTTGCTGTCTTCCATAGCTGGAGACTTGAAGATTACTGAAAATCATCTATGCCAAGCCAGCTCTTTGACTGTCAGAAGACAGCCTTGGGCAAAGAGAGGAGTGTAAAGGAGTGCCAAGAAGACTTTGCATCTTTACAAGTGGCTGCTTGTCTACTAGCAGCGGTCTTCAGACTACTGTTTTCGAAAGTTGACTTCTAGCTGTGTTTCTGACATGGCTCTAAAAGCAGTATCATGAAGGGATGAATACTGCATGTTAATGACAGCTCTTCAAAATGTGTTCCTTCTGTGCAAACTTACTAACCTCTTGTCCTCTGCATTAATTTGAAGCCATGCTTTTGGAATGACTGAATAACTGTATAGGACAAAATACTCCTCTGTGAAGTGATGTGTTCAGGGAAGTCCAGTGTAGCACATAATTATTTTGAAAGCTTCTAGGCCAAAACCTCCTGGTTTTCTTAACAGAAGGCCATGTATTTGGAGAGGAGGAGCGATTGTTAGGAATAATCTTTTTATCTGACATCATTTGGCAGCTCATTTATGATCCCATTTCTGAAAAATAAAATGACATGATTTGTCACGCGACTATGACAGTAAAATATTTATGTTAAGATGGATGGATAATAAAAATTACAGACCATGTAAAGTGTTCAGAATTAGCAGATAATGATTTACAAACGTGACTTGGCAGTTAGGTTAATACCCTTTCATTTTAGCAAGATTTAGATTTCAAATGTTTAAGCTAAAAATAATGTTTAGCATATTTGCAAATTTCACACCAGACAGTTAGAAAAGAACAATCTGCTCCCAATCTTCTCCAGTTTTTAGGAAACAAGTGCTTCATAGCCTTTTATTCTGCTTTTTCCACTGATCTTAATTTTATTCTCTGCATCCCACCCAAATGCTATTTGTGTGTACAATATTCCAATAAACGTGAGTGTATTGAAACAATACTGTTCTACTGCTACACAGAACAGAGCTGTATGATCAAGATCGATGTAAATACTGCAAGCACTACATTTATTTCAACTCTTCAAAATTTATTTGAAAAGTTTATTGAATATGGCTGTATTTATAAAGAACTCAATAAAACATAAACAGAGAGGAAAAGAAGTATGAGTTAAAGCAGAGTCCTCCACTAAAACTGTAGAGTTACTACAGCTACCAAATGATTTCAGTATGCTTAGTTAGATAATCTGTATGGATTTTAGTCTGTTTTATCTAGAACAGGTATAACAATGTAGAGTGGGTTTGGGGTTGTTTTTTTTCTTTCAGATCATCCAGGTCTAGAAAATGTGGTACAGATCGAGAAATTTCAAGAAAAAGCTTACATGGAGTTCCAGGACTACGTCACAAAAGCATATCCAGATGATACTTACAGGTCTGTGAACTTACTTGATTGATTGATTCTCTTTTCAGAGCATTGGTGATTAGCTCTTGTAATAAGTATGTACGTTTTCTTCTTACCTCCTTAAAGGGAAGAAATGATCTTTAGAGCACTTCAAATATTACACAGGTACTCATACATATTATGAGTATTATTTACTCATTCATTTATTCATTTCCAAAATGAAATATTGGAAATAAATATCTTTAATGTTTGGATTGCACCTACTTGGAGTATTTCCTCATTTAGTCTAAGTCCAAACATTATACTGTCCCTGTAATTGACAGGTATGCTCACATTTTTTGTACTGTTAACGACATGACTGAACATAAATTTAATACTCTACTGATTTAAATATTTAAGCCTTTCATGAATTAGATACAGCAAATTTTGGCCAGTATCGTCCCTTGTTATTTTTCCCTCTTACTGATAGCTAACATGATTGTAACACCAAAATCTGCGACTAGAACTAACACTTTCTACCCAACTTGTTTTCTAGACTGTCTAGACTTCTTCTCCGATTGCCTGCTCTGAGGCTGATGAGTGCTGCCATCACTGAAGAGCTGTTCTTTGCAGGACTAATTGGCAACGTTCAGATTGACAGCATCATCCCATATATTCTGCGAATGGAGTCAGCGGACTACAACTCTCAGATCGTCAGTCATACCGTATAAAAGTACCAGTCAAGGATTCTGTACCATGGCAGTCATGGTGATGTAAATGCATACCCTGTCTCCAAGAGATGGCAATAAGCCTTCCCATGCACCTTTTCAAAGAAGGCTAATATTCCTCCTTTCCAGTACACTTGGGAAACATGATGAAGTATATTAAGGAATATAGGATCACTTCCTATTTTTCATCTGAACTTCGAGGACTTGTAAATTAACTTGGTATCTGAAGAAAGTCAAGAATTGTCCATCCTATTTTTGTAGATAGATGAACTTGGAATATTTGTTTATGAAGTACATGCTTGTGAAGAAACTGAAGAAGCTTTGACTGAGCTAAGGTATCTCAACATAGTTTGATGTTTTAGAGAAATAAATTAACTTTTCTCTCTGAGTTGTGTTTTCATTGTTTTGCTGCTAGTTCTTTCTGACTGATCAAATGGAAAATACATGATCAAACATCCTGAAAAGGCCAGTGTTTCCATGGAAACAAGACCGTTATAACTGAACTTAGTTTTCCAGTTGTTTTCAAAGAGAGATTTGTTTCTTGTTGAGTGAAACACTGGACACCATTACAGTGCAGGGAAAGTAGAGAAAGTTCACGTTTTAAAATACCCTGGTGAGAGCTTGCTGCAGTTGATCAGTACTGACTGTTCTGTGGGTTCAGTGGAATACTGTGTTGTAGTAGTACCTCTTGGTAGACATCACCTGTTTTATACTACGGAAAACGAACAGAGAAGCGTATACTGCAGGTATTCAAAGACAGCATCGTCCTGGTTTTTCTAGTCTTAGAAGTTAAAGCTTTTTCACATTACCATTTCCTCTGTCACTTGGTGCACAACAATGGAGGCATTCTAGATGCCTCTTAATTTGCGTTCATGTCTTCATATTTTTATTATTGTTAAGCCTTTGGCTATGTAGTTCTCTTTTCCAACCAGTCTCATATGCTTATTGTTTGAATTTGAGTTTGTCAAATCCAGTGCCCCTCCCTATGGGAGCATGGTCTCAGCTGCTTTTCCTTTCCTTATTAGCAGTGGATCTAGATCCTTCATGTATGTTGCCTGAATCATACATACGTCATAGCTTCATCTAAGGATGGTTTTTTCCTATCCTGAGGCATGTGTGCCTCACTGACAAACACCACTGATACACAGTTGCTTCTTGCTTTTTTCAACGGGACATTATACATCCTTAGCACATTTAATACCCGTTGCTTAAAATAAAAGAAGGTATCATAGTAGAAGTAGTGGACTATCTCTGACACTAGCATTTAGGATTATCTAAATCTTGGATCAAGGCTGAGTTCTGTTTATCATGAACCTTCTCTTTCTCCAGCACCACTGGGTGAGGAAGAGCCTCATCAACATACAAACAGTGGCACCAGGAATTGCTCAGCCAAAAGATCATCTTCAGTGGGGGCCTTTGCCCACTGCACTAGCAGCTCCAAGGCCATGTGAACACCAGGAGACTACTAGATGCTTCTGTAGTTTTTCTCAGCACCTGAGGACCTCAGCCAGCCAAAAAGAATTGGAGAACTGCCTCCGACACTGACTTTTCGATTTCACTACCTGAGCTGTTTGGATCTTCCTCCACCCAAGCTATGTAATTTGAGGCTGTACTACAGGATCGGTCACAGCCAATACCACAGGCAAAGCACCTGCTGCTGAGGACCCCTGATGGGATGGCACTATCCCTACCTGCTCTGCCCTGGCATTTACTGACTTGCTGGAGTACTGACTTACCTTCAGTGTTGGAGCTGGCTGTGTCTGCTGAGCTTTTCCCACGTTCCACCTTTCAAAGAACACAGGATTCAAGCTCTTCATCTGTGTCCCCTGGAGAGCAGTGTGAGGACTGCTGGGTCTTGGGAAGTATGCATCTCATGAGGAGGGTTTATGGACACATGAAAGAGTTGCTGCCAATATGCTGTGGTTGTTCTCTCCCCAGGGTTAGAGGTCACTAGGACCAAGTTGCAGATGGGAGATGTATAACTCTTCATCTCTCCTCAGAAATTCTGGCCCTACTTTCTAGCCCTGTGCTGTCCCTGACCCACTTCTGACCCTAACAGGCATGGGTGATTTACAGTCTTCTGTGTTAAACCTTTTAAGGAAGCTGACGACACGTTACTCTTGAATATTTTGGAAGTGGTTTCCCAGGCATTCTAATACTCTTGGAAGAGTTTTACTCCAGTAGTCTCCAGATTCATGTAACCCAGATAACAGTAAGATGGAAATAAAAGCTTGTTTTCTTTCTAAACGCAGTACCCTGTGCATATCTCTTTCCCATCCTTACAGAAATCTTTTGCTATGTAGCTTGAGCCTCAGGTGTTATGTAGAGTTCTTTGTTTACAGCTGGCCAAAAGACTTGGCTCATACAGTTTCTTGCATAGGACTGTCCAGCTTTAGAGACAACTGAGAAAATACGAGTGTTTCTACAGATCTTAGTTGTCAGGGACTGAATCCCTCGCCTCATTCCTCTTCATCATAGAACAGCCCAGGTTTGAAGAGACCTGGAAAGATCATCCAGTGCAACCTTTTGTGGGAAAGGGAGCCTAGATGAGATTATCTAGCACTCTGTCCAATCACATCTTGGAAAATCCCACCGATGAGTACTCCACTGCATCCCTGGGGAGGTTGTTGCCATTACTGATTGTTCTCAGCATAAGCAAATCCTTTCTTGTATCCAGATGAAGATTTTCCAAAGACTATAGACAGTGGCCTTGCACCAATGTCAGCCACTTAATACCTCAGGGTGGATTTCTTCTGGGCTCATGGATTTGTGTGGGTTGAGCCCTTGCAGGAGGCTGCAGACCAGTCCTTCCTCCACTGCTGGTAGGTCGACACATGCGTTGTTGTAGCTACTTGATTCTGTGCTCTGTGGTCCAGCTCTGCTGGGAAAGGCAGAGGCAAAGAAGATGCTGAGAACCTCTGCCTCGTCAGCATGACCACTGAGTATTTTCCCTGCCCTGTTAGGCAACAGGTCTGTGTCTTCCCTGTGCTTCTGCTTACTGCTTATACATATCTGAAGAACCCTTCCTTGTTCTTGACCTCTTTGGCCAGTTTCAGTTCTAGCTGAGCCTTGGCCTTCCTGACCACATCTCTGCATACCCTAGCAAGGTTCTTGTAATCCTTGATGGGTAGTTAGCTGCTTGCCATAGCTGGTATGATGGGGTTTTGCCCTTTTTTTTTCCTCTTTCTTTTTTGTCAGAGTGCTGTCTTAGATGAGACCTCAGAACATTATTTTCTCTGGATTTCTGTTCTTGCTTCCTCTTTGTGCCCTAGTCTATTTGCATACAAGTTAGCCTACTTCAGTAATGTGTGGCCTGCCAGTATCACTGGTCATGACCACTTTCCTAGGATTTGTTAACTCAAAAGCACAAGAACCTTGGTCATCTTTCCCATCAGGTTGTTTAAATTCAGGTGTTCGTTGACCAAAAGACCCCATTTTATACCTCTGACATTTGGACCTCCATAGAGCAAATGTGCACACACGCAGCACGTTGCAAAGAGCTCTGGCTACTGGTAAGTAACTTTTTCTCCAAAAAGTTTTCTGACATTTTTTCATAATAATAAATTTTCATCCTAAGTTCAGTATTGATTTAAAGGTAGAGTGCAGCTGCTCTATGCTGCCTGGCAAGTAATCTTTCTTATCTTCATGATGATCTAGAAGCTGGATCCCATACTGCAGGTTGTTGCTTCAGTGTTACTTTGCTTATGAAGATTTTTTATTAATCATTTTCAAATGATTTCATTAATCATTCTTAAGCTAAAAATTCATAGAATCATGGAATAGTTAGGGTTGGAAAGGACCTTAAGATCATCTAGTTCCAACCCCCCTGCCATGAGCAGGGACACCACACACTGAACTGTCGCCCAAGGCTCTGTCCAACCTGGCCTTATGCTTTTGATAGGGAATGAGGCATAACTGGGTTTTCTCAGGAATGGGAGCTTTGAAACAGGTAAATTAATACAGGGATGAATGTGTTTTTTTCCTTATTTCTGGATGTTAACCATTGCATTCATCTGAGAATAATGCAGCAGCTCATAGGAAGGTAAAACACTGTAGTTCTGGTTTTGCTGTTTTGCTTTTTCATGACTGCCGCTCAGTTAAATGCAGCATATTAAGTTATCTTCAACTCAGACTTTCAGCGTTTCCAACAGCTATTTTTTGTGCTGTCAGGATTTGACATTACCCCCTGTGTGTTTTACTGTCATTTCTAGCCTTGTGAATGAGTGTTCTTAGCTCCTGTATGAAAAGCTAGTATTTCTGGTTTCTTCCATGCTGCTCAGTAACGTTCATCAGCCAACAAAAATGTGAATATTGAAGCTCGCACCACCATGGATATTAAAATATCTCATTGTTTTTGTGACCTCTTCCTTTCAGCTTTTATTTTTCAACTTTTTGATCTTCAGCAGTCTGACAGTTTTCAAACCCATCAGGATTTAACCAAACTTTCACATTTACTAGACAAAAAATAAGAAGTCTCTTTGACAATGGAAGGACAAGTTTAGTTTCAACAACTTTAAATTTTTCAATGTTAAGAATGAGAAAAATCATTTACATACAAATCACATGTAAGGCAAAACAATTTTATACTTTTCAGAATCCTGTCATGTAAAGATGGGAGTGGTGCTACACATAATAAGCTTACTGGTTCAGATGTTCTTCATGGAAGTGTACGTTGTACATGAATTCATGGGTTTAGGTTGCTTGTTTCTTATCGGTTTAGCTCCTTGTGCAAATAATTGTTATACCTTTCAGAAGTACACCCACTGCAATACCTTCTGCAGTTACAACCTTACCTGTCCATACAGCTATTGTCTTTGTGTGTTCTCCAGTGTGAGTGAAAGTCAGTCTGTCCATTTTGAAACCGGTCTGGTTTGTTCAGCCGTGGTGGTTTGCTAGTATGGCCATTTCAGTGTAAGCACTACAACATCACTGTAATTGTCTTGCTGTTGTATTAAAACAAAATCACTGTGGATGTCTTGAAAGCTGCCTAAATTGGTAAATTCTATTTTGGCTGTATTTTTTAAAATAAACTGTAACTTTCTATTCTAGAAAACAGTGGCAATAACCTATTACTTAATGTTTTATATGGATTGAATGACAGACCTAAACCAGTGTATATATGATTACAAAGAGTTTGTGGGTCTTTTACATTTTTATTACACAATGTAGTATTGTCACTTCTATTCAGTCTCTGGGATTTGTGACAGCTGCAATATCTTGCTGTTTGCTCATCTTTGCTGCTATTAACCCTTTGTTTCCATGCTTACTACTTTCTGGCCTACGAATTTGAAAATGTAATAATTAATTGTAAAATCTAATTTACCAATTTTTTTTCTTTTGAAAAGAAACATATTTCTCCACAGAAATATGTATTGTAACGAACCC